AGTCAATTATAAAGTAATGCCACTTCACTCTTACCCACATACATAAACAAGAGCCTTCTCAGTCAGAAAAGAATTTCCCACACAGTTCTTGACTGAAATATAATTATTTTCAGATACAGGGCAGAATGAACTCTGATCATCTTCTGACAACTAGTTCCACACAGACCTCTGATAGCAAGTGCACTGATGATGTTAGTCTTCAGGGCATCTACAAACTGTCCCACAGTTGGATTATTGTTCAAACCATACTACGAACGAATAGCTTCAAATGTGTTCACAAGGTGATCATCAAACAGCTGTTGCCAGGTATTCACCACAGCACCACACTGAAAGAACATTAAAGAGGAAATTAGTGGGCTTCCTTACATGATGGACTTGTTCAGATTTGAAAATAACACACTTTACTTTAAAGGGACTGCCATTATAAAGCTTTTGTATATTTGATTAAATTATTCCTCATAGCAAAGTCTTTACCACCTTATTCTCTTATAAATCATATTACTGAGAGTGTGATCTGCTTTTCAAACATTTAACATATCCTACATAACTTGTGTACTGATAAGATTATATTGTAGCATCCTGTTGCATTCTTCCATTTTATAATAAATCTTATTTTACAGTCTTATGTGAAACTATTTATTAACTTTAAGTTTAAAATTTAAAACTTAAAAAGTTGCACAGTAAAATAAGATTTATAGTAAAATTGTATATTGATGTAGTTTCATAAGTAATGAATGATGATGACAATGACATTCTCGCTAGCCACCTGTAGCCAATACAGTGTTGTGGCTTGCTGCAATGATTGATATGCCTGAGTTCCACATCAGAAGTATTTATATTTACAGGGCTTATGAGAAATGAGGTTTCTTTCACTGCAAACGTTGGTGGCTACTTGGTAATGGTTACACTGCAAACATTTTAAAGGATTAAGCAACACATAATAAAGTAATTACACCATGAATTAAAACAGACATACCTTGGTGGATCCCTTGGAAAGCTGAAGAATTTGATGCCTTGCTTGCTGGATGACAAGCACCCAGCAGCAGCAAATGTCGTTTTCATGTTTATACTGCAAGAAGCAATAAAAAAATTGTAACACCATCACGGTACTCTTAGAACTCCTTCACATTCAACAGACAATCTCTGGGATAAACAGAAAGTTGCAGAACATATCATAAAAAATATCATTTAGATGACAGTTCATAACCTGAAAAATTTTAGGCTTGAAAAAATTCTGTTTCTAATTCCATTTGGGGTAGTAAGCATAATATTCATATACACAAATAATATGTTTGACATGGAGCTGTAATTTCGTTCGCAAATGTCTACTTTCGTTTTGCAACCACATCAAATCAAAATTCATACTTACCAATTTGCATATAATGCACCACCATAACCGCACGTAATTGTGGGCATTGTGGGTATTCAAGTTCGTTCAAGTTGGTTTGTTTAGGCTGTCTGATTGGTCGAGCCCAGCATGAGTTTCGTCCGCCGCTCTTAGAGGCAGTAGTTACCGTGTTTCCCTTTCCCCTATTCCAGTTGCCACCCCCTGGTCAAGAGGACTAAGGAAGAGAAACTGAAGAAACTTGAAAAAGAGGACCAAAGATGCAAAAGTTGTTATACGGAGGATTCAAGATAATCAGTTAGAAATAGCGAAAGGAAAGTCCACGGCGAGAGAAGTGTGGAAGGTGTTGGAGGACAGATTTTTGAAAGTGAGCGCAACAAGCAGAATCTTGTCAAGAAACTACAATTGTGTATATATAATCCATTTCAAGAAAGGTTTGAAGATTTTTGTGTGAAGTTTGACAGAATTATTCGAGACTTGAGACAAGCAGGTGAAAGTCGTGATGATGAGAGTGTGGTCATACAATTTTTATTGTCCATGCCGGCTGAGTATGAAAGTGTAGTAACAACCTGAAGAACTGTAGCCACATCTAAATTAATGCTTGAAGGGGTGCACCAACATATTGAAGAATTTGTAGATGATAGAAAAACAAAGAAGAGAAGACATCTAATGTAACATTAACCACTGCATTCACTGGGTATCAGCAAAGTCTGGGAAATTGCCATTCCTGGGGTTAGTCCACAAGATTGGGATGTTATAATTGTGGGATGACCAACCATAAGGTGGCGGAATGCTTCACACCAGGAGGAGGTGCTCAACGAGGAGGAGCCAATTTGGGGGGAAGCAGAAGTGTACAACTGAGGAGAAGTGATAGAGGTGAACATCAAGGAGGCTGTGGCGGGCGGTATCAGCAGACGGTAAATCTATCACAACGAGACATAGGCAGAGGACCATGTAATCTCGAAGGAAGAAACTATAATAATTATGGAAGGAGAACAACAGATGTCCATCAAGTATCTGTGCCTGAGGACACAGAACCACCAGTGTATAATTTCCACATTTCCGTTGGTGCAAATTGTATAGATAAAAGGAATATGAGTGATTTAGATGAAAGTGTTTGGCTTCTAGATACAGGAGCTACAGATCACCTTGTGAGAGCCGATACAAGAGCAAGCAATGTAAGGGTCCTTTTGAATCCAGTAAAGATACACATTGCTAAAAGTAAGGAATTTTTGGAAGCCAAAAGAACTGGGGATGTGAGAGGGGTAACTTATGTCAATGGCAAACCAGTAATACTTGAATTTAAGAATGTGTTGTTAGTGGACAATTTGAAATTTAATTTGTTATCAGTTTCCAAACTTGAGGATAAAAAATGTAAGATGATAATTGAAAAGGGGAAATTTGCCGTTTGGTATAATGATATTAAGATTGCTGAGGGAGTTCGACATGGAAAGTTGTATAAATTGCAATATAAGGTTGGAACAGAAGTTGAGGGAGTGTCATTCTGTGAGGGTAGAGCAACTGTGGCACGAGAGGATCGGACATATTAGTGCAGAAGGATTGAGACAATTGCAGAATTCAGCAGATGGTATGGACTGTATTCATAAGTTTGAACATAAAATATGTGACGTATGTGTTGAAGGGAAAGAAGTGAGTGTGTCACACTCCCATTCTAGGGAAAGAGCAAGCAGAATACTTGAAAGAATTCATAGTGATGTGTTTGGTCCTATCAATCCCACTGGATACAACGGAGTGCGGTACTTACTAACTGTAGTAAAAGATTTCTCTTATTTCATGGTTGCATATGGTTTAAAGAATAAAAGTGAAGTTGCCCAGTATTTGAAAGAATATGTAGCAATGGCTACTGTGAGATTTTCAGTTGAAATTTGTCAATGTAGATGTGATAACGGCAGGGAATATGTGAACGACGAAGTAATTACATTTTCAGGGAAAAAGGTATCCAATGGGAGTTGAATATACCATACACAAGTGCTCAGAATGGAGTAGCAGAGAGAATGAACCGAACAATTAAAGACAAAACTAGATGCATGTTAAGAGGATCAAACTTAAAGAAAACCTTTTGGATAGAGGCAGCCCTTATGGCTGTGTACCTAATAAACAGAAGTCCCACAAAGACAATTGAAGGAAATAAGGTTCCTGCAGAAGTTTGGTATGGGACTCGCCCAAATGTAAAAAAACTCAGGAAGTTTAGGTGTGTGGCATTTGTTAGGAAACATATGACTGATATAGGTAATAAGATGGAGTCCAGGAGCAAGAAATGCATTTTGTTAGGATTTTGCCCCAACGGGTATAGGTTGTGGAGCCTGTTTGAAAGAAAGATCATTTCAGCTTGTGATGTTGTGTTTGATGAAAGTAGGACATCGTTCGAAGGAGAGTTAGGAAACGAGATTATCAGTGTAAGTGAAGAAGAGCAAAATAGATGTGATGAAGTAGAGGAGAGTGGAGAAGATGAGCTCAATATTGGGGAGAGAAATAATCAGGTGGAAACAGGAAGTTCAGTTGATCAAAACCAAACAGAAATGGAAGAGACAAGGCTGGAAGTAAACAGGAGCAGTAGAATTCGTAAGAGACCAGGGTATCTCGATGAGTACTCTACTGTAGTGATGACGGATGAGTATGAGGAATTAATATCCGAGGAAAGGAACAATAAGGTGGAGTTCGCTGTGTTAACAAATATGCCAGATGACGGAAGGATAGATGATAGTTCAGAGTATGAGGTTGCGATGAGTGCTGTTGCGTATTGTGAGGAGGTGCCAGAAAGCTATGAAGAGATAGAAGTCAGGCCAGATAGGGAGACATGATATCAAGCAATACAGGAGGAAATATCAGCTTTGAAGGAGAATGAGACGTGGGAATTGGTGAGGCTACCTCCGGGCAAGAAGGTTATTAAAAGCAAATGGGTATTTACAGTAAAGTATAACAAAGAGGGAAAAATCGAACGATACAAGGCGAGATTAGTGGCAAAAGGTGTTCACAAAAGGAGGGTCAAGACTACTCAGAGACATATGCACCAGTAGCGAAACTGTCAACTTTGAGAATTTTACTGAGTGTATCTAATAGTAAAAAGTTTTACATTCATCAGTTGGATGTCAAGAATGCCTTTTAAAATGGTTTATTAAGGGAAACAATTTACTTGGAAGCCCCAGAAATCCTAAATGTAGAGAACGGGGTTGTTTGTAAATTACGAAAAACATTGTATGGGCTGAAACAAGCTCCGATGGAATGGAACGCAAATTTGACTTGTATGTGAAAGACTTGGGATTTAAGCAGTGTAGGACTGACAGATGTCTGTACGTAGGCAACTTTGACAACGTGTGCGTGTATCTATTACTGGATGTGGATGATTTCATCATTGCAACAGATTGTCCAGAAACTCTCAAGGAATTAAAAGAAGTACTGATGAATGAATTTAAGATGAGAGATCTAGGGTAGCTTAGTTATTTTTTGGGGATTAAGATTGAACGAAAAAATGATTCATTGTTTTTGAGTCAGTCGAANAGTCTCTTTGAGTTGGTACTTCCCACCCAAGAACCAAATTTCGGTCTTCAAGACCTTTTCACGTTTCAAGCAAATAAAAGACATTGTTTCAGAACCAGTTGAGAACCGGCCATATAGAGCACTTATAGGATGCTTAATGTATGCATGTCTAGCGACTAGACCAGATCTGAGTATAGCAGTGAATTTCTTCAGCCAGTACCAAAGCAAGGCTACTAAAGTGCTATGGGAAGGCCTGAAGCGTATTTTGCGTTATCTTCAAGGGACCAAGAATTGGGGGTTATGGTATAGAAGCCACAGTGAAACGATTTTGGTTGGATATGCAGTTGCAGACTTTGCAAATGGTGTGGATAGGAAATCAGTAACAGGTTATCTGTTCAAACTATATGGAAATTTGATAGTCTGGGCATCACGGAAGCAAAGAACAGTAGCACTTTCGTCTACGGAGGCAGAATTCATCGCCTTGGCTTCAGCTGCAGCTGAATATTTATGGGTTAAGCAAATGCTACAGGAGATGAAAGTGTTTGTAGAAGAACCAGTAATAATGTTTGAGGACAATCAAGCCTATATTCACTCACTAGTGAGTTGGGACCAGAAACGATTAAAGCACATTGATATTAAATATAATTTCATAAGAGATTTGATAAAGAATAAATTAATTGAAGTTAAGAATATTGAATCAGCTAACCAAATGGCTGACATTCTTACAAAGGGATTGCCATTCAATTTGTTTAATAGAATAGAATAAGGAATGTGTGAACTAGAGTGAGTAAAACGATGAAAAATTGAGGAGGAGTGTTGGAAGTGCAATTTTTCATGAACATGAGTATTAGTGTAAGGCAAGAGATGGCGCAGTAATCGGTGAGTGGGTGCAGTGATGTGGGCATCTGGTGTGTGTGTAAGACAAAATGTACAGTAAGATGTAGTAAAGAGTAATATCGAAGTGAATCGGAGTTTTATTCAACTAATCACCTTGAATCATCAGTGCCGTACAACAAATTCTAATCTTGATTTATTTGTGTGCTTGTGTGATGGAGCCTTCAAAATGCCACAAGATGTTCATGATGTATTCACATATTCCTCATGGGAAAATAGTGATACCAGTGAAGTGAGATGGCACAGTTTACTAGGCTGAATATGTTGGCATGCAGGTTGTGCGTGGTTTCTTTGATGGAAATGCTAGAGCAGCATTGAAAGAACACCAGTGTTGATATCCAAGTCAGAAGAAACCCAACAGATATGTTTGCAACACTACACTACAGACATGCCACCAGCAAATATTTGCTGTGACAAACAATTTGTAGGGTGAAGAGGGGGCGTTAGATGCTGGACATTGAAAGCCATCAGCTAGCACTGTCAGGTTGCATATGACATGGGCCTTGCTAAGAATGCAGTTTGGCACGTACTGCATGAGAAGCAATTGTGTCTGTTTCCTGTACAACTTACAAAAGAGCTACAGCCAGGGGACAGTAATTTTCACCTCAAATTCTCTTGATTGCTTGTATAGAAACTGCAACTGAACTTGACTCAGGGGGCTGTGTAATGTGGATTGATGTGGCAACATTCACAAAAAGTTAAAAAAAGAGTCTCCACAACATACATGAATGGGCAGTTGAGATTTCTCATGCTACTCCCTGCCCATTTCAGCAAAGATTCAGCACCTACGTCTGGGCTGGAATAGTAGATGATTATATAACTGGGCTACCCATGATACCAAATCGTCTCTTCCTCTATTACTGGAGGAAGTACTCCTTAATATTTGTCAGGGCATTTCCTTTCAGCATGATCACCCCCCCCCCCCCGCTGCAAGGAAGAGAGCTCTGCTTGCTGCCTACTTCATGCTGGTCTCTCTTACTTTGCATACCCTTCATCCCTGAAAATGGAGACAACATGTTGCTCCGAAACATTGGTTAACTATCAGCAGACTACAGGCGTTATATCCCAGGATGATAAACTTCTTGCTACATGTGAGCAACACAAGTCCATTAGTATAAAACGGCAGGTACTCCATTCATTCCACTAGCGTATTGTAAAATACAATCCTGCATGATCCGTAGCTCAAACACTCTGCAAATTCAAAATCCAGAATGTTCAGAACCTTCGAAACCTTCAATGACTATACCAAAGAGATAAATACATGGCAGCACTAACGTCAGCCCAAAGATCGTTATCTGCGATGCTAGGAATGGGAAGAAAAAGTTAACGATCAGGATATTTGTTGTTTTGTTTTTGCGGTCTGTAGAGGTGAGTAATATGCGGGTTCTTGTAGTTTATCTTGGTTGTAGAACTAAAAATGTTAAAACCTCTGTGTTATTTCTAAGAGCAACAACGAGTTCGAAAAAGGCATGGGTATAAGATATTGTACATAAATTGAAAGTATCGTATCAATGTATGTCATCTGTTCCACGTGACAGTTCTGGATTTGTGAATAAATGTTGAATGGAACTTGCGTATCCAAAGTGCATCCTGCCCATCCTGCCCGTGAAGAACTCGTCTTCAGATACAGGGAACAGCCCATTTAGTAATTTCAGTGCATTCTAACTATGCGGATACCACTATGAAAGGTTTGTATCATGGGATTGGAATTACAGGTATCCCTCGTTTTACGAATTTTCACAACACCGAAGCTTGTTAATTTGTAACTGTTTGCCATGTAACGAACCTCATTTCCGCTACGACAGCCCTCATTCGTAAGAAATTTGTTTTCAAAGCGGAGAAATTCATTTACAATATGTGGGCAGGAATAGATGTCCCCACCCACGATGCCCATGATCCCAGTGTGCGGGCTGGCCTAATGATTGAAAATATTTAGACGTGCACTTGATGGTAACATTCAGTCCATAAATATGTGTGTTGGTTATGCCAGTCATGGCTCCAGATAAGTGAAAGTGGTAAGAGGTGCTGATCAGCCAAATAAAGCAAGGACAGCAACAAGTTTGGCTGCAAGCTATAATTGTATCACGTAAGCTATGAGAAAATTAAAGTGAATGAAATGATAGTTATATTCGCAGCAGTAAATATCATGAGTAATAGTGCCCACATTTTAATGCTTATATACAATCGAAACATAATGTTAAAATTTTGCGGTATTTTTCATGAACTCTTGAATGAGTCAGCAACTTTTTGCATTAAATGGGGATATCATTTTGATTTACATATTTTCACTGTATGGGCAGTTTTTATGGAACGAATTGCTATCATAAATTGAGGGATACCTCTACCATATAGGATGTTATACATTTATATTGAACTCAGAGGTTCAGTCTGAATTTTAGCACTCTTTGGGGGTCTACTGGACTGAAAGGTTTTCACTTTAGTAAGCCATGTTGCAGTAACACAGACTCTTGACAAAAGGTAGCAGAGGTAGTAGAAACAATTGTTGCAGTGTGGAGCATGCTTTGTGTATTCATATGCCTGTTAACTGTTGCTCTGCAGAGGCTTTCTAACAGAACAGTAACATTTACACTGCATCTTGTCAGTCTTCTATGAATACCCTTTGTGTGTGAAAGCACTGTTAGTTGAAAGACATAGATCTCCTATACCAACGATCCAGGATGCAAAACCAGCTGAATGTACAAGAAGAACAAAGTTCAACCCAGCTTTAAGTGGAAGTTTCCCAGTCTGCAAATTCTTGTTTGAAATGAGTTATATGTAAAATTGCTTGTGAGAAGTCAGACAACATAAATTTATAGTCTTGTGGGAACCTCCCACAGTGTTTTTACTGCTGAGACATAGTTGTGTGTATTGTTCATTGATGATCTGTTGATATGTAGCAAGACGTTATAATACAGAATATGTCTGAACTTCCATCTTTCAGCCAGAAGTGATGGGTTGTATTTACAAATGTTGGTGTGTTTTTCAGAGCCTTTCTGTAGGCATTGTCATTTGTTTACTGTGATCTCCAGTAGTGGAATACTGAAAGATTACTTGCAGAATATTCAGTAAAGTTACAAAAGTTGCTTGTTAATGCTTTGCAAAATTACCTTGCTACCCTTTTAGTTTTTCATTTTCTGGAAATAATTTCCATTTTATGTGGGTTAATGAATGTGTTTAATCCATCTTTGATTTCTTGACAACTCTTTCCTCCCTTGATGTCTTTCAGTACCTGGCTAAGCCATACTGTTATCCCACATGACTTGTTCCTTTAAATTTAATTCTGATTCCCCTCTCACTGTCTGTATTCTGTCCTGTTTGCATTGTACTCGGTGGCTCCATGCAATAATGTTGTAACCCTCAAGCTTGAAGCATTTCGGTTTGTCTCATGTAATTATCTTTGTTTGCATTCTGTTGTATATCATGAAGAATGATACCTGGCTGGCAACACAACAGTAAATAAAAATAAACCACTCAAACTGCTAGCATTGGTTTCATTTAATGGTTACTACAAGTTTTGGTCCACATATGGGGCCATTTTCAAGCAGTCACATCAGATATGTCTGTAGTTATTGAAGTGGCTTAATATGGATCCATATTATTACTACTCATCACAATCATACACTGCTGTCCAAAAAGTATCCAACTTTATTCTTTTTCCGCTGTAAGTAATGGCCAAAGGGGTGAGGAAACTAGGCGTAGTGGTAGAAGGGACTTTCATGCTCATGCATGATTTTTTGCTGACTCGCAACACTGCCGGAAGCGTCTGTGGCTGCCAGATAGCGAAGTGGTGTAACACATGTTCATCTCATCATTGTTTCACTCAAGATGACAGAATGCTTTGAGCAGCGATGCTGCATCAAGTTTTGTCAGAAACTTGAGGATACCCAAGCGGAAACAATCCGCAAAGTTCAGCAGGCTTTCGGTGATAATGCAGTGGGGNTTCCGCAAACACAATTTTAACTGAGGATTTGGGCATGCGAAGAGTGGTGGCAAAATTTGTGCCCAAGCTGCTTTTGCCGGAGCAGCAACAACTCCACCTTGAGGTCGCGCAGGACATGCTGGAGTGCACCAACAGGGATCCTGAGTTCCTGAAGACTGTGATCACGAGTCTTGGGTATATGGATATGACCCGGAAACCAAAGTCCAGGCATTACAAAGGAAGCATCCAACATCCTTGAGGCCCAAAAAAAGTACAACAGGTTTGGAGGAATGTGAAGGTGATACTGACTGTTTTTTTTTATTACCAGGGTGTTGTGCGTCATGAGTACGCACCACTAGGCCAAACTGTCAACAAGGAGTACTACCAAGAAGTCATCTGCCATCTTTGTGATGCAGTTTGGTGCAAGAGACTGTAGCTGTGGGATGCACGCAACTGGCAGCTGCATCATGACAATGCCCCAGCTCATTCATCACACCTGATCTAGGGTTTCCTGGCCAAGCATGGCATTCCGCAGGTTTTCCGGGCTCCCTACTCTCCTGACATGGCTCCTTGTGATTTCTGGCTGTTCCTGAGATTGAAGACACTGCTAAAAGGCTCCCATTTTGACAGCCCCAAGGACATCATACATAATGCGACAGCGCAGCTGCACGCCATTCCAAAAGAAGCCTTCCAGAATTGCTTCCAGCTATGGAAGGACTGCTGGGCTAAGTGTGTGGAGTCACAAAGGGCCTACTTTGATGGGGATTAGGTATTGTAACCACCCAGATAGAGAACTTTGTTTTCCTGGCCCAAGGTCAGATACTTTTTGGACAGAGTAGTATGTGTGCAAGCATCAAGAAGTTGCAAGATTTCTCTACTTTTGAAATTTTCCAAAATTTAAAGTTATTTAAAATTCTCTTGTCAATGAATGTAAAATTCTATATTGTTTTTGTAGTTTTGTCTCTCACTGTACGCTGTCCTTTGCCTGGGGTTTGCTGTTATGCTATCTGGAAGTAAATTACCATGTATATTTACTAGGTTTCAAAGTTGTATTAAATTCTGAATTCAAACATTTCTTCAAAAAAATATCATATCTATTGCTTGGATATTGCTTCGTTTCTATTTAAGTGTTCAATTTTGGTGTTATATGTCAGTGTTGGTTTGAAGTGTGTTTTATAATTTTTTTCTGTTTTGGGTTCTTTCTACTCCATAGTTGGAGCTGGGATAGCTCAGTTGGCATAGTGGCAGACTATGAGCTGGATGGCTGGGATTTGGTTACTAGCATGGCAAACAGATATTTCTCTGCTCCACATCATCCAGACTGGCTCAGGGGTCCACCCAGCTGCCCCTACAGTAGGTACCAGGGGTAAAGCAATTGGGGCATTAAGCTGACCTCTATCTAGTGCTGAGGTCAAGAATGGTGGGGCTGTAACTTCATCCCCATGTCTTTATGGCATGGTGATTAATTAAGCATAAGGATAGCTTCACCTTTTACCTGCTCCATAATATTTGTGTTGTAATTTCATATAATAGCAGACTATTTCCTATTCCGTTGTCTGCCTAAGTTTTCCTTTTTGTTTTCATTTCCTGTATAAGTAAATTGCCACAGATTTAATCATTATGTTGTTAATTTATTTTGATGTTTCAGTCTGGGTATTCTCCCAATTGCATCTTATGTGCCATTGCCATTTGACATCATAAGTGAGTATTGCCTTTGTTATTCCTGGAGTTTGCCACTTATAAGAGCTGCAAGACATACACGAGTGGAAGATAGCTAGACTTCAAACACTAAAGTTTGTACTTTGTACTTGTTGTCCCTGTTGTATGTTTCAGTGACAGAGTTTGATGTATAGAATCAATTCTAACTATAACACAGCTGGTCAGTAAATTTCATTTAACCTGCCAAGCTATCCATTTCAATCAGCCTGATTCCATTTGGGATACAATGTAACGCAATATCGTCAGGTGTGCGGTAGGTGAGCTGATACACTGAAACACTGACCACTGGAGAGGAGGTAGCCAGTGAGGGGCTGCAACCAAAGGTGCATGACAAAAGCAGTAGGCAACCACAGAAGGGGTAAACTGCTGCTGCAGGAGACAGGATAAGCAGCTGTCTACAAAACTTGAAACCAGGTGAGGAGAGATATGGACCGCAAGGTGTTAAGGAAATTTAATTTTATTTGAGGCACCAACCAGTCACAAGGAGCACCTTAAAAAGGTATACGGAGAGAACCACTGCCAGCTACAGGTCTGAGTCAACAACCCCTGCAGGAAGGGGGTACAAGAAGCAGAGCACCGTCAGAGCAAACACAGAGATCGAGGAGTGGGTTACTGGAGAAATATTTTCCTCAGTGAGTCCTCGTTCAAAGTAGCACACACTCGTCCATCTTTACGTGAGAACTGGAGACACTTTCAGGGATTGCTGTGGTATCAGTATGGCGGAGTACATACTGATTAATGAGGTCCTGAAGCTAGTGAATCAATTTAAATGGGATGCAGCTTTTGAAGGTAGCCATTTCAGAATCATGTGAAGAAATTGAGGTGTGTTATGTCTATCGTTATTGGTTTTGTAAATATATATTGTGGCATGTAGACCTGTTTGGTATGCAGTGATTGCGAAAAGGAGCATGCATTGCTTGGTAGTGGCCGGCATATATGGTCCTGCCGAAACGATATCCAGGCTGTTGCCAGGCATCTGACCATGACAGCAATAGAAGGACTATTTTAGGCGGTGTTTTCTGTTGGATTCACCCTGAGGCTATATAGTGAGGAAGCCAGACTGGCTGAGGAGTTCAATTGTAGGTTGGCACTTGAGTCAAGCTCTGCAAGGAAGGCTGAGAAGAGATGGTGCTATAGTGAGGTGACAGTTCACAAGAGGTCAGTTGCAGGATATTTGCTGAATGGTAATGATGTGAACGTGGGAAGCTGAAGAATCTACACTGTTAGAAGCCATTGCTAAGGAACAGCTATTGAAAACAGCAAGCTGGAAGAAAGTTTAGTTGGTACTGTGGTGATCTGTGAATTGTGGAGATTAGCAATAGAACTGTAAGTACTTGTAGTTTTGAGTGGTGTGTACAAATGTGTCATCCAAATATCCGATCCAAACCCAGTCTGTAGTCACACTTCAAAATATGTGACAATATATATTTTGGCATGTAGACCCGTTGCTAGGTATTGGCTCCACCAACAGACACGAATGCAAAAATTGCACTGCAACAGAGGAACTGTTTTCTATGTGGTCCATGCCATGATTTTATAAGAGGATGAGTTAGTGGACAGAGTCAGTGAGGACTGAGTTTGTTTGTTGGTTGATGAGTTAGTGAGTTAAGAGTACTGCTGGGGCTCAGTTGTCATGAGCTGCTGCTGTGAGAAGCTGGTATCTGAGGCCGGGAACAGTTCAGGAACCCAGAAGAAGGGGAATGTCCACCATTGGAATGGCCAGTGAAGACATGACTGTAGACACTAGTGTGTGTGTGTGTGTGTGTGTGTGTGTGTGTGTGCGTGCGTGTGCGCGCGTGCGTGCTTGTGTGTGCGTGCGGCCGTTCAGGCATGTGTTTGTACAAACGACACGGCACGCACGTAAACTACATGACTAAAAATAAGAACATAAAATCAAGAGAAATAAACATCTCCCACCATCAGGAGGAAAACAACATGACCCAATGACGGCTCACGATATTTTAACGTAATAACTAATTTTTTACATGCAAAAGACAATTTTAATACAATTTTAATTACATTGGGAGGCTACTGTATGAAAAAGCGAACATCATATCGCATGCAGTGGAAAATCCCAGCCAGAATACCCAGCAAATACGCTTAAAAGAAACAGCATCATACGTAAATCTACACTTCAAGAAGCACCATCGTGAATGCCTAAGACAAACATTAAATCCAACCGTGATATTAACCAAATTTTATATAGTGAGCATTATTCATAGCTTAAGTGCATATTGTTAAAACATCTTATGTGACAGTGTTTCCTGACTGTAGTGGTGCGCCTCTATTCTTTTGAATTGAAACATGTAAGGTGAATAAAGACTGAAGTGTTGTAAATTTGTATGTCACACTGGACTGAAAATTATCCACTCTGTAATTAATAGTGTGACGGACCAAAATGAGACAAATCATATTGATAAAAGAGAATGTTGCCTTCATCATGGTACCACTCCAGCAGACAAGAACTCATGCCCAAGTGCTCTTCTGTCAGTTCCCTCAGACTCCACCCTGCACAGACTTTGTGGAAATGAAGAATTTTTTGCACTGCGGAATGATCTAAACTCTTACTTATGTCTGATGTTGCACTGTCCTGTAGTGATATTCGTCCATCCATGAGGATCATGTCTCTGGCTTGTTCCTGTTTGTTTGCCATCACTTATTGCTGTGGTGTGGTACCTCAAGCATTCTCTGTTGGTTAATGTTGCCATGACTTACGCAAACAGGTCTGTCCATTCAGACACACACTGTTGAGATAAGGCATTCTCATATTGGGCACATAAATGTATATTAATTTGAATCCCTTTAACATCTTCTGCCCCCCACCCAAGGAGATAACCACACCCACAAGAAAATCTTGGCTAATTGTTCTTCTTTGATGCAGTCATGTTCTCTGCTTTGCCACAGCTTGCTTACTGCATCAGAGGTCCTGTGGGGCAGTGTATTGATATGTCATCTGATGGGATTGGGAGCTGCAAACTTCCATCAGGCTATTTTGTACCTTGTACACATAGGAATGAAAGTGTAGATACCTGTTGAATCACCCTCATATATTTCAGAAGGCTGGTACAAAGAAGCGGAAACAGAAAGGGTAAAGAAGCAACTGCTTGGTACCAAAATGCTGTAGGATATGTTGTAAGTTTGAGTAGCGTGAGGAATGATTTAACTCTGGAATCAGAACTGCAGACAGTGCACCAGTTGGGTTTCAGCCAGTATCAAGAAATGAGTATGATAAATACTCTGTCCAGTATGCAGACTCCGAGGGAAGTTGGAATCTTACACTGGTTGCCATATGTGTTTTAATTATAATTGTAAGACTCAGCTCTTTAGGATTCATTTGTAAAGTTTTTTCCTTAACTTGTTCTTGAATTCGAATTGCATGTGTTTTATACTTTTTTGGATTCGCTTCTGCATTTTCTGGGTGAAATCATTTTGCATTATCATTGAAAAACCGTTTACTTATTCTTATAAATTTGGTTTGTTATTACTATTTTTTTTGCCTGCTTCAGGTAGTAAACAATGATTAGAAGTAATTTTCGTTTTGTACAGTTCATTAAATTTTGCTGCCATTTGTGTGACATTCATTCATTCATCAGTAATCTGTCAGACAACAGGTCGACTGTCTCTCCCAAAACAGTTCCTCCACTTGATGCGATCTAGAGCTTTCTCTTTCAAATGAGAATATCCTCTTCTGTCCCCAAGGTCATCCAGCATCTTCTTACGTCTTCTTCCTCGTCTTCTGGTCACTTCTATCCACCCCTCTATCTTTCCTTCGCTATCTTCTTTTAGAAGGCAGTGTAATGCCGTGGCGCAGGGGGGGCGTGGAGTCAGCCTCCTCTGCTACCACTGTAACGCTGCAAGTAGGGGGGGCGTGGAGTTACTGCGTAAGATATGACGAATCCAATTAGCCTTCCGTTTTCTTATTTCGTGTAGGATATTCCTCTGCTCACTGACTCTGATTAACACTTCTTCAGAAGGTTGGATATGAGGTCAAATTTTTCTGCTCATTTCTTGTTCCTGCGGTTTCGAACCCCGCTCCTCTCTTGCCAACTCTACTCTGTAGATCCTGTAGATCACGTGTTCCGACATGTTCGGTTCTTAGCGTTCTTAGGGTTGGACATCACTCTGTCTGCGGCAACGGGTTGGTCGAGGTACGTTGTTCCGTTTGTGACAAGTGGAGATGTATTAGGGTTGGAGGCCTCTTCTCTTCTACATTAACGTGTCTGCCATTTCCTACGAAGTGGCATTACGATGTTTCTTTTAGTTTCATTACGCAATGAAACTTAATTTGTGGAATCTCATACGTTTATATACCTACTACTTACATCAAAAACCAAACTGGGAAGATATTGTAAATTCGTTTTATCTTGTAGCCATTTTGTTTTCTAGAATAAGCGGAATGATCTTCAGATATGTGAACATGTGCAGCCAGAGAATTTGCTTACAGAGCTGAAGCCATTTAAGAATATCATTACGCGATCACTCTTTTCGGTAATAATGTTCGGTATATTTCCTTTTCTTTTTCCAAGCTCGGTTTTCTCACTCCCCCAAACACTTCGGGCTCAATTAAAATACAATGTTTAAATAATTGTAAGATATAATGATCATTGACGACCTTAGTTCTTTTCATAAGAAGAGAATTTGAAAATATAAAGCAGTTGCCCTGTTTCACTTCGCACAGAGCGCACAGATACATCGGTCTATATGTCGCGTCTTCGTATTCATGCGACTCAACATGGCAGAACCTGTTAGAACCCCACAGATTCGTTTCGCTTTTATGACTTCCTTCTGAACAACCTCATGGCCACACTGTATTCCTGTATAAGAAAAGGGAATTGTTAGAAATTGTACAAACTCGATGAATTTATTCCCTCGGACATTGAATTAAAAACCAATTTCATTGTGTTAGACTACACCTATAATTTGGATTATTCTATTATTTGTTCATGGAGCTGAGCCCTTCTTGAGGAGAAGCCAAATCTGCAGCTACTCAAGAATTTCCCAGCATATTATGAAACCCGAAGGTTCAAAACTGTGTTTACAAGAGCCCTCCACTGGTCCATATCCGGAGTCAGATCTATCCAATCCACACCATCCCATCCCATCTCTCTAAGATCCATTTTAATATTGTCCACCCACCTACTCCTTAGTCTTCCCAGTGGTCTCTTTCCTTCTGGCTTTCCCACCAATATCTTACATGCATTCCTCTTCTCCCCCACTGGATTATCCTATATAATATATAAAATAAGGATAACTGAAGCATTGAGCAAAATACTTATTAGAAAATTACTTAAAGATAGTTTAGAGGATGTGTTCTACATAATTATGGCATATAGTCTGCCCTACGTAGATGTCAGGTTTCGCTTTGTTCAGTTACGGCTCATCTGCGGATACAGGTTTCCTTCCAGATTGTTCCAGTGTTCAAGTGCAACTCTGGGAATCGTAGATTTATGAATCTTGCTCTCATGTATGGCACGGCATGTTTCGAACCAAGAACTTTAGAAAGGTCTCGTATTGTGTAATAGACCTGTAGAAGAAATGTCTGGGGTGTTGGTTTAAATATATCTAGCACTCAGATTCTAATTGAAAGAAACGGGCTCATGAATTGAAGCCGTGGAGCTGAATCTTCCGTGATAGGCCAATAGTTGAGCTCAGGTACACAAACTGCAGCATATTTCAGATCCAAACGGCTCTTTACCCCGTCCAGTGGTCCCAATCTGGAGCCAGGTGTATCATATCCGTAACATTTCATTTCATTTACTCAGTACACATTTTAATATTATCATTCCATATAAACTAAAGTCTTTCTGGTGGTCTCTTTCCTTTGGTTTTCCTATCGAAATTTTGTATGCACTACTAGCTACCACAGAGCCGGGATAGCGACTGGCTGCGGGCTGGACGTCCGAGGGGTCGGAGTTGGCCCATATATTCGCCTCAGCCGCTGTTCTCAAATGCCCTCACTTATGCTCTTCCCGTAATGTGAAAGACCAGGTTTCAAGTTCTTATTGGGCTACACACAAAATTGCAGTTCTTTATTTTGTTCCTTAAGTATCGATCAAGGAAATGAAACATTGTGAACTAAATGGCAAGAGATA